GTCTATTAAAGCAGCCAACAAAGTAAATTGGATGGCATAATCATCAAATCAACAATCTGTGACATGCCTCTCACCTAAAGAGCAGTAATTACATAACTTTGACATTTGGATCCAAACTGTTCTTTAAAAGGTATATTTGACATTTCAAAATGCCTAAAAACAACTAGACCTATATATATTTTGGTCAGTTGTGTATTATCAAAACCGGAGAAAAAACGTAATTTCATTCAAGGTAACAGTGTGTTTCATTTGGTTGCCTGTCAATGGTGTCACATCCCCTTCACCCCCTCTGGTAAACTATGTCAGAGATTGAGGAAGGAAGTCGACAAAAGTGAATAAATGCAACTTGAATGAAACTTGAACACATTACCCCGTCCTTGAACACGATTTCTGCCTGAGTCACGTCACATAGTTTGTCATCTGTATTTCAGTAAAATTCACTCCCCTGTACAGTTGGCATGAATCAGGAATTAATAGCTAGAGAGACCGAAGCCGTTTTTTATACCAGGCTACAAATATGTCTATTCCTGCTGTGATGTTAGGCATTTTTATATGGGGCCTTATGGAAATTCACAAAGAAATATAATGTGTGTTTAATGAAAGCCAAACAGAGTTTTTAATTCTGCTCAGTTATGTATAAGGAAATAGGATTAATAATAATTCTAGTGTCCTGCATTTTTTTTTCCTAAAAGGGGATAGTGTTTTTGGACATATTTGTGGAAATAGCATCAAAGTGTCATCACTCTGGGTGGGCATTTCCCAGCAGGTGACTGACCCCTGAGTTGCCAGAGTTGCTAGTACTGTGCTTCTACTGACTGGAGCACATCATAGTACGTATGTACCATTAGCAATGTAAGACACCTGTCCCTTTACAACATTAAATATTTGGAACCCATCGTGTTAGCTTTCACACGGAAAGTGGAGGCTAGTTAGCCTTGATATCTAACCTTAGCACTGATTGCCACTGAACACTACTTTTCATTCATATTATATCAACACCTGCTAAGTCACAAGCAGCTCCTGCACACTCAGTGCTGTGTCAGTCCTACATTATAATTATACAAAGGAGGGGGTCTGGCTAGTCTTAGCTGTCTCTTTTTTATTGCTTCAATTGTGGTGATGGCAAACCTGTAATTACCTGTAATTCACAACACAAAGTAGCCTGGCTAACGTATGCAATCACATGCTACCACAGCAGGAAAAAAATACATTTGATATTTGTTCTTTTTGGTAATCTCTACATCAGTCAAAACAGTGATACTAATCCAGTGATATAGCATATACACTCTGATTCCTTGACAAAAAAAACTGTAGTATATCATGTTATGTTTTAACATGCCATTTGGTATCTACTCTAATCCAAAAGGCTGAGCACCAGTGAGTGAACAGATTTTTGTCATGGGTGGCCCTAGTGGATACAGCTGAGTTGGGGATTTAGAGAAAAGGTCTGAATGTAGATTGGAGGACACAAAGCTTCTCAACAGGACTGCACAGTCAGGTGACAAATGGTGCCCCAGGCCAGCCAAGTGACAGATATGGCCTCTTAATCAATCAGAGGTCACCATGGAGGTTCAGTCCAGACTGCACCCTCCCTGAGAGGCAGCCATCTGATAGAACACTCAGTGCCAAGCCACAAAGCACACAACCTTTTCTGCTTGTTAGCACACCACTGCTGCAGTTAATGTCATCTCATCTGAACACTGGACCACTGGTCAGACTTGGTACATTCGGCACCAGCTGAGCTATCCAGGCAACAATTCTGGATTTTTATTTATTTATTATTTTTTTATGAGGTAGCAGGAGTAGATGCCATTTTAAGAATTTTAATGTGGAAATTAGACTAAACATATCAGACACACAAGTTTGTTCCAAGTAGACTATTTGTATATATGTCTTTATATGTGGTCTGGAGGGGATCTACAGCCTTGACACATGACCATCTGTACTGGCATTACAGGCAGTAAATAAGGGAGTGGAAGGCAGTGCACTTTCTGGTAGGACCAACCTAAGGCCAAGCCCTTACATTCTTCTATGCACCTCGAGGCCCACCCTCACACACCCCCTGGGGTTGACCTACACACTGCGGGGTCCCCAAGGGAGCATATCAGGCTTTTGGAGTAGCACAGGCCTTCTGTCCTCTGTCAACCCCCAACCCATATCACTCTACTCTCCCACCATCCGTCTCTACATCTCCCAACATCAATACATTCATCTGTCCATCCTTGCTATCAATCCAAACATACTATCAGTCTGAAAGACTTTTGTCATTCACCCATCTGCCTGCTTCTTTTACTGCCATAAATATATCTCTATTTATCATCCTATTACTTAATTATGTGATTTGTCCCAAAATAAAATTATGTTTTGAATTAGAAATTTTAATAAAAGAAAGAGAAAAAGCAAATGTTTCTCAGGGTAATCAAAATGCTGCCTGAACCTCATCAAGTTTAACTCTGTCCTCTGGTTTTTACATCTTCACTATCTCTGTATGTCTGTTTAATAATCATCATTACATCAGAAAATTGAATAGTTTTGATTGTCTTTAGGAAGCTGTCTTCCTCATCAATTATCCTTTAACTATCATTGGGTTAGTCACGATTGATGTTGGTTGCAAAAAAAATACACTACAAGCAGATTCAGAATTGTCAAAGCCAACAATAGTAAACCAAAACCCATTAAAGTCTACTGAAATGGTGTCACATTGCCATTACACCCATGATAAAACTGTCAATTCACTGGAAAAAAGACCAATCAATACACCCACCAATCACCAGACACCCACAGATCCATACATGTATTCACCCATCCTGACACTCAGTACCTGCGTCTGCGCAAACCTTCGACACATTGATCTATCCATCCTCCCCCTCTCCCAACGTAATAGATGCTCGTGCTGATTCAGTCCCCACGGGATACAGGGACATCACACAGAAGTAACACAGGACTGACAGAAACATTGACTGGCAAGATTGAAGCATGAGAGGCCAGAAGAAAGGGAATGAAAGTCACATAAATGACAAACTAAACTCTATCAGCTGAGACAACCCCGGTGAGATTGGAGAAAATTTTAGAACTATAGGGGGGCTGAGGAAAAAGAGAGGTTCTGTCAAATGAAGAGACTGGATATAGCGAAGTGGAACCTCAAAAAAAAGAGGAAGAGGACAAGTGAGGGACAAGCAGGGACAAAGACATGCAAGAAGTGCCAAACCGGGATCAGGCAGATCAGCAGTGCAAACTAGTGTTTCCTGTGCAAGTATTGAGATGCAGATCCCACTTTCTCAGCTCATAATGGAGGCTGTCAGTAGTGTGTGTGTGTGTGTGTGTGTGTGTGAGTGGGTGAGGATGTTCATGTGGGAGAGATTCTCACACATCTGCTAACCTGCTTCTGTAATGGGGTGCAAATGGGCCTTCATTGTCAGGCCTTGCAGACCTGACTGGAATGACCTGACACATTCAATGACGACTTCATCTTCGCATGCATACGGGAACACGTCCTCACGCTGATGTTTACACACACACGTAGAATGCCTAATGCCTATCTATAGATCTACTTCAAACAAAACCAGGACCAAGATTTATTGTGTTTACAGCATAAAATAATGTTTGCTGTTATTTGCTTTACCTGAAAACTGTGTGGTATTTCCATATTAAAAATCATACTACAACAAAAAAATGTTTGGTAGAATATGTGTAATATGGATGAGTTTGCAGAGTTATTCGACATAAATGTAAAAGCTTTTCTCTGCACATTTGTATTGTTGTCATTAATCATTTCTGAACTTCTAATAGAAATCAGCTGCACAATCCCAGTAGATGTAGAAGATTTCTTCCCCTAACATCTCTCTCTCTCTTAAATCCAAACATTTCTAAAGCAGTGTTTTACTCAGCTGAAATTATTTTAACTAGGCGCTCCTGCTGACTTGGAGTTGGGGGATGGGGTTTAACAGAAGGGGGGGGGCAATACGGGGTCACACAGGAGGAGAACTGGGAGGGAGGGGGTCGCTTTTTTCTTTCTCTCCGAGCTCTAGGAAAGAAAGGAAGGAAGCCAGAGCAAGGCAGAGAAGCCCAAACCAACCGAGGAGAGACGGATGGTGGGGGGAGGGACTGGAGCAAGAGCGCTGCTTATTGGTAGGCTGTGGATCTCTCTCTCTGGATGGATTGACTTAGCACGGGTCGAATTACACCATTTGCCGTGCATTAGTTTGTTTTTCTCCCAGCCAGGAGAAGTTGATTCACTACGACGCGCACAATATTTTTTGGGGGATTACAGCAACACAAAAGGATATAAAACAAGTAATTCAGATGAGGTGAGTTCCTTGCCGCTACGTGGATATACTTTGTTGCGCCGCATTACGCAGTGAAAGTCAAAGGGAAAACTAGAGAGGAGAAGTCTTTGCTGGGATACAAAATATTTCTTCTGACCACGTCGCTATGCTGCTCTGCAAAAACTGATGGTTACAGGACAGAAATAGTTCAGGTCCGGACTATTTTTACTTATGCTTCAATCCAATATACTGACCATTCATTCATTTTACCGCTGGCAGCATTTATCCGCCCGTCCTGCTCGGAAGCGTCTTTCCAGCGCTCGTAAAGCGGTGTAACAGAGGCTAAATCAGATCTAAACTGTTTACTCACCTCTTTCTTTGTGAGACAGTTTACCCTCCTATTGTAGCTGTCAGAAATCTTTATTATAGTGAGTTCTGCAGCCGCACCATTGAACCATGTATCCAAAGGATGAATCCAAAGTTATTTGAGCGCATTGTCTGTTGGGATAAACAAGCACAGAAAAGAGTTTAGTGTACGTTATTGTATTATTTTTTAAATTCTGGTGGGTATGTGCCATATCATCCTCCCCGCCAGTCCACTCTGTTATTTTAAATTAAATTAAAGCATTAAATCAAAGATTGAATATTAAGTCAGAGCGCGGCGTAGTAAGGATAGCGCGTCGTTACTGTTTATGTCTTTTCCCTCTGGTTTCTAAAGTTAATAGTAGTGGAAGGGGCTGGTGTATTGCTGTATGAGGGAGGGGGCTGTGTGGTCGTGGCAGAGCTTTGAAGATCAGTCATCAGAGCTCAGGGGCCCGGGGACGGAGACAGAGCAGGCAGTCAAAATGCTCATATGTGGCGAGCGGAGCTGAAATCTCAGCGCAACTGGATAAAAAAAAAAGAGAAGTGGCGTCCGGATGGAGCTTAAAAAATGACAGGAATATTACATACTGGGTGTTTTCTCTTAAATGGATTACCTAAGGAACATGATATTCAGTCGGATTGCCCAATTGCGTGAATTCGGATTCTCAAGGTAGGTGTCCACCGGGATTTTTAATTATTGATAAAGTGTATTTTTCCTATTTTTAAGATCGCTGTGTTGTATTATTAAAACGGACCTTAGATTTAATTAAGGACATAGTACTATTGGCTTCTTTTCTATCCGGGGAGCTACTTTGTGAACAGAATCTATACAAGAGAATCAAGTACTAGATTCAAAGTAAAATATAAATTTTTAAAACAGAGACTTACACATAGATTAAGACTGACCAACAGCAAAAATCAGAGCCACGCCAGCTACTGTTGGTTTTAACAGAGCTTTCATGCAGAGAAGTGTCCTTCATTTGCTACAGTTCCAGCCACAATAGCAAATATATTCCATTGTGTAGTGTCCAGAGTTGTCTTAAATGGTTTAAGGCGTGGATTTAAGTGTTTTCTGACATTTCGAATTCACAAAAATCAAACTTGGATTGAAGGCAACCTGCACATGATTGGACGGACAATGCTGGCAAACACTGTGTTAAACAATACAAGGCGAGCAGGACGCGCAGTGTGACTTAAAGATTGTTGACTGCTCACTCTCTGGTGCCATTAATCGATTTCATGTATTCCCAATTTCATTACGGTATTCTTATATTGGATAATAAATTGGAGAAGCGCTCGTAACCTTTTTGGAGGCAGAGCAGCGCGAGAGCCCAGCCCCGTGCATGCATTATATTAGGTGCTGTGGAGGCAGTTAAACGCAGCCCCATCACTGTTGTCACTCCACCGCTGTCCCCCGCGTCTTTGTTGTCTTTTGTATGAGTCCTACATGTGGGCTAAAGGGGTCTGAAAAGATTTACCACGGATAAAACTTGAATGCCTTTACGCCCCAGTCCGCACAATGCCAGCATTAGAGCCCGGGCTGCTGCATGGATTGTGTGTGCAAAAGAGGAGCGGAAGATCCCCACGCAAAACTTGAAAAATGACCAGCAAATGAAGGAAGAGCGACAGAAGAAGAATAAAGGGAGAAAATCAGAATGCTTCCCTGTCACAAGCAGGCATGGAAGTGTGATTAGGTTAGAGTAGTTTTAGGAATTGTTCTATCATGTCTCATTATTTAAGAAAAAAATGGCTAAATGAAGAAAGGAGCAGAAGGAGATGGACAAACATGATCAAAGGGTTGTTCTAAACTTGACATAATGGACCAACATGCTCTGCTAAATAAATGGGGAAAAAATTCAATTTAAAAAGAAAAAAAGTATCCACTAAGATTTAATTTTAGTACATTTAAGGGTGCTATGCTCAAACCAGTGCAGTCCCTTTACAGAAATAAAGACAAATAGATAAACAAATTTGTTTATAAACATAAACCAGATGATGAGTGTCTGAGCTGTGTCAGAGAGACAGGAGAACCCCAGCTCAGTTACTGAAACTACAAACTTGATATATTGGCAGGAGCACTGCACTAAGGCCAGGTCAAACATCAGAACCAGCCGTGGGTTCCTTTGACAGCACAGCTGGCTGATGTGCCTCACTGGTCACGGGGTCAGAACTCAGCGACCAGAACGATCACCGTTAACCTCCTCTACAGCCGGCCATAACCCCGGAACAACCGCCATTAAACCATACAGCCTTATGGTTGCCCCAAACTGCTGCTCGGAAATCAGACTGTTCAATGCTAAATTGGTTGAGTGTTAAAAGTTTGACCCTGTGTGCAGCATTTGGAGTCAAGATGTTTATGTAGTTTGCTTTGTTCCCTCAGAACCCCTTTTTAGGAGCCCCCAGAACAGCTCTCCTAAACCTGGATCCACTGACCGGGGGTGGGGCTCTATTGTGTTGACTTGCCCAAAGCCCCTTTTGTTTCTTGGTCACACCTGCAGCTCAGCCCCTTTGTGCTCCACTATAGTAGAACTACTGCTGAGAACAGCCTTTCTCCTGTTTCACTCCTCCTCTCGCCAAGGTAGAGAAGAAAGGGAGGGAAGCATGGTTTAGGGTGGCACAGCCCTCTCCTTCTGCCAAATCTCTGAAGCAACAAGTCCAACCAAGCCCCTCAGAAGTGATCCTTGGGTAAACAGCACGCGATTAGGGGTAGTGGTTATTACTGAAGTGGGAAAAGTAGTAGTAATCATTTCTGGGCCTGTGTGACTGCTCTAATCATCTGGCTGACTCTGCTTTCCTGTGTGGCTGCATCTTGATTACTTTCTCAGAGCCACAGTTGAGAGCTGAGACAACCGTGTTATAGGACGTATCCAGTTTTGGACTGTCACGCATGCTTAACACACATTTAGACATACATACGCTAAGTGTGCGGTGTGAAATGCCTGAAACTAAACTCCTGGGCTATCTGATTTCCTGTGCTGTTTGGTTTACAGCTCAGTATGGTGCAAGATGACAAGACAAGCAGCCTCTAGCAGCAGCAGCCATTGTTCTACTGGGATTACATCCAGCCATTGCATTCACTCACAACTTTCGAAACCTCACGCACTACTGTTGTTTGCTATCCTTTTATTAGCCCCAATTCCATCCCAGTAGGACTTCCATGCAAAAACACATCCATCCAGCGTTGCAGTTGACGAGGTTATCGGCTGACATATGCCAGCGAAAGCACAGCTAAAGGGGGAATATGTGTTAATCTGTCATTTTAAGCTTGGAACACTAAATCTTTTTCTGTAACTACCAGAACTGGGCTACAGACCCCCCCACCCACAACCAGTAGAAATAGCAGTCCAGCAGACCCCTTCCCCCTGCTTGTGTTTAACACCATGGGCCTGAGCCAATAACATCAGCAGGGAAAGTGCGTGGTTGTAGGACATTGAAAAGCCTGTAATAACAGAGGTAGAGTGAGGCAAGGCTGAATGGCACTGAGTTGCGTGACAAGCCCAGCGTCTCTAGGCTTGTTGAGGCCTATATGTGCATGCACACAACTACACACACACACACACACACACACACACACACACACACACACTGGAGGGCAGGAACCAGAGAGTGCAAAGAAATGGTCAATAGAAAACATGCTGGGCTCACTAGAGATTGAGAAGTAATTTTAGATCGCTGACCTCTGGATGTCTTCTGTTTCTGTTTTACATTAAAGTTTCTGAGGAAAGCCTTCGCCTCCGCAGTACGGCTATTACCATGCAAGGAATCATGGGAGATCGGAGCTGAGTTTCTGCCTCTGGTTGGAGTGTTTTCTCCTGAATTGTTTAGTGAGAGAGAATGGCAGGAAGAAAGTATGTGCATGCTTACGAAGAAGCGATATAGAGCAGAACTCTAAATTCTAACAGCCGAGGAAATGATTAACCTGTGCAGACAGCCAAGTTTGGGCTATTGGAGCACAACCTGCAGCCTGTATGATAGCACTATAGAACTGAAACGTGGAGCCTGGCTTATTTACCTTTCATAGCTCCTCTTTTTTTTTTGTTGTTGTGTGTTTGGTATCTATTCCTGTCCCAGGTTTCTCCTAGAAACTCAGCAATTTATTGCTTGGGTTTTAATACATCGCCTCTGAAACAGGTAGTAAAAAATAGCTGCAATGTTTTTAAGGAACAGCGCTATCTCTCTTTGCTGAGCAGTATCATCACTTCTTGTTTAGATTAAGTTGCTGACAGTCGTTCTTTTGTATATATCCGTAAGCCTGTGTGCATAGATCTGTGGATCGTTTGAGTCCAGAGATTCATTTGTATTTAGATTAAAGTGACTGTCCGGCATCATTGATGTATGTAGTTATAGGAAGAGAAAGCTACATTTTGGACAATTTAACTATTAAGTGGACTAATTGAGATGTAGCGTTGTCTTGTCCAGCCCTTGCATTACTCAGTCATGATGACATTGCTCTTTTAAAAGGCCTCAGTATCCCACAGAGTATCGAATAGCCATGATTACACACTGTTAATGACTAAAACACGCTGGCATTCAATCTCCACCACTTCTTTTCTTTTTAGTGACAAAAATAATCATATAGTAACTGTTCAGACCAAAATCTGATTATTAGTGCCTGGAAAAACACACTGTGCCCTTTATATCAACATGTAAGCTTTAAAGCAAGGCAACCAATTTGTGTGTTATGTAATCCACATGCTCTGATCAAAGGCCAATAGGCTGTTATATATTGGTGCTGTCAACGCCTCATGCTGTCTAATTTTATAACTTGACGACGTGGCGTGTTATAGTTTATTTACTTGATAACCATGTTCATTATAGTTAATTTAGTGTTTTAAAAGATTTAAAAAGCCAAAGGTTCTTCTAAAAGTCACCAGGCTGTGAGTTACAAAGTTCTCACATGGCTACAGTGATATGGTGAAGTCCATAGATTTCCTTTGCTGGCTGCTGATCAGCCATGCTTCCTGTGTGGATCAATCAGAGCACTAATGGCTTGGCAGGCGGGGCCCACAGACAGCACTGGAGCAGGTGTGCTTTGGGGCTAATTGAAAAATGAGTCAATACTGTGCGTGTGTCTGTGTGTGTGTTTGTGTGTGCGCACATACGTCAGTCTTTGCATTACACCATTTGAAAGCGTGATTATGTATGTGCAACCGTGTGTGTGTGTGTTGGTGTGTGTGTCTATCCCAGTGTGCTCCCAGCTAATCCATCCCTCTGCCTGTGTGACGTCTCCCGGTAAATTGTTTATATCCGTTCAGGCTTTGCCTGCATGAATAATTTGTTTGCCTTATAAATATTTGAATGTACACCGATCATTAATATGCACAGACACAGTCTGTCTCTAAAGCACTCCTCCACGCACTAACATGCACACTAAACCCCTGCCACTCCCACAATAAATTATTACCAGTGTAGTTTCTGGTATATCATGTCTACAATCAGATGCTGTACAAACTATTGTACACAAAAATTACCACAATGTCAAAACAATTGTACATGAGTCGATTCTCATAACACAAAGATGAGTGAATCACTGCACTGCAATAAAGCGCATCAGCCCTAAGGAAGGGCTAGAGCAATAAGAGCCAACAGAGCGCTAATAAAAGTCAGCTAAGGTCAGAGCAGAGGCTACACTAGTTATGGTGATAAAGTTGCAATGTGCTGATTAGTGTTGAGTCTGGCCCAGGACAAACCAATCAGAGCACAGATGTACAGAGACAGCAGGCCCGCCACGTTTCTAACAGAGTGGACTTCCGCTGCATCCAACACACACCGAGACACCCCACCAGTCAGTTGGCTGACCTTCCCTTAGACAGCAGATGCAGAGAGAGGTAGAGGGGAAATGCCAAGCACTGCTACTGAGAGCTCAGTCGTCAATAAGCCAGAGAGGGCATTATGTGTGCCTTATGTTTGTGTTTTACTTACATTGTGGGTATCGACCAAAACATAAAAACATCTCAGCTGTTTTGAGAGTACGGTAGGGGTGGGATTTGACTACAGTTTGCAGTAGTAGGTTAAACATATTACATGTTGAGCAACAAACGCATGCTTTTTGTGTGTTTCCAGGTAACATCTCCACTAGTGTGAAACAGGAAGTGTCGTCTGTGAGCAGCCATGGGCCAGAGAGCTGTGCTTCTGCTCAGTGAGCTGCTGCTGCTGCTGCTGACAGCCTCACGCACTCTCCTCGCAGTCAGCTTCCCAGAGGACACCGTACCCCTCGATGTTGTTGATGCACACTGTGAGTACACGCACGCAAATGAACTCAGCAGACGGGGGTTAGAGATTACAATTACTGCAACGTGACTGAAAAAGTCAACAGCTTTAATATACACTTATTACTCAGTCCAATCATACATGGAATAAAGAGAAATACCGGCAGCCTTTCTTCTAGTCGTGTCAGCAGTTCACACACTAGCATGCCATACCCATAGTAATAAAATCAATCTGCTGTATGGTCAGCTGTAGCATTAAGTGGATTTCATTTTCATCTCTGTGATGTACTGGAGGAACAGAGATGTGCTGACATAGGCAGCCATTATCTAAAGCACAAACACTACACAATGACACACAGATATAATTATACAGAATATACAGTATGTATTTGTACTGTACCATTACCTTAATTGCAGGATTTGTATAAAGCACACACACAGCATATTTATTTCTAATCAGTGCAGTCAAATTAAATGTAGCAAGAAGTGAGTGTGGTTTATCCGTGTCTACTTTCCCCATTAATAGTATGTGTGCGTGTGTTATGTCTTCACAGTTTCACGGAGGTACCCTGTGTTCAGAGGCAGGCCCTCTGGCAACGAGTCACAGCATCGCCTTGACTTTCAGCTGATGACCAAGATACAGGACACTCTGTTCATCGCTGGCAGGTAGACTCTCACACTCACACACCATCTCTATCTCCCTCTCTCTTTCTCTTTCACACATCCCCCACACCAATATACTCGGTCACTCCTTGGCAGGTAAACAGTGGCGTAAGGGGGGAAAAAAAGCTCTTAGTGTTATTGGATCTTTGGCTTCTAGGCCTGCATCTGATGTATATGGCCAGTATTGATCCAAGAGAGGCGTCTATCATGTGGCCTGACGCTCTGTCAGGGATTTCTTGGCATCTTTACATGTCTTTTTGGTATTTATGGGCACTGGGATTAATCTGACCGCCAGCACTAATATTGTAGCACGAAATCACCCCGACATCTACAGTATAAAACTCCCACCTCTGGAGCCCCTGTAATCACCACCACATGTATCACTGTTGGCAGGTGGATCCTCCTGTTGTCAGTTTGGGGTATTCACATGTTTTTACTAAAAGTGAAGCAAAATGTTATTCTCCATGGGCTAATAAAGTTGATCCCCACCAGTTTTATTAAATTTTTTTAATAACCGGCATATAATCAAAACAATAAGTGGTTGTCAAGTAAAATGGTACAGCAGAGAGGATACTCAGGGTTTCATGTAGCAGCCAGATGCATAAAGCAGAATTCACTATGCATTTACTCTACAACACCCTGTTTGTTGTTCACATAATACAGAAATTTGAATGAACTATATTTCAGTCTTATCATTTTCAGTTTATACAGGGTTTGACAGAAAAATACTCAAAAAAGGAGAAGATTGGTTTAAACCCATTTCCCTCCAATTGTATTTTCCATGAACCAAAAAGTTGTGTGCAAGAAGAGACTGAAATCATAGTTTGCAATAAATGAGGTCTTCTAATAACAAGTACAGTTCAAGAAATATTCTCATAATGGCAAATAAATTTAACAGTTGGGGAAACCATGCAAATGAGCTGCTGATTATGCACCAGAGTCCCTCTAAGAATGTAAATGTGGATGTGTTAAAATTATTTTTAAATTAACCCGAATTCTTAAAAAACTCAATTTTACCCTTTTATTAATATAAAAATATAAGATAAATGATAAAGCTACTGGATTTTTATTTTTAAAACAGAAACATTTAAAATGATGAGCCCTATATTTTATAGAAACGTATTCCTGGTTGTGCTATGTCACTGAGCTGTGTGTTTTGTTGTCTTCTGTCCACAGAGATCAGGTGTACCTAGTCAGTCTGAGAGAATCCTACAGGAATGAGATCATTCCTTACCGGGTAAGATTCTCGCCACAAGCTGCTCTCTCAATCCACAAACACTAAAAGGGCTCCATAGAAAATACAGAGCCATTCATCACAAACTGGACAGGCTGTAAAATGAGAGAGTGGAAAAGGGAGGACTGTGTGTGCGCGTGCATGAGTCAGTGTGTATGAGTGTATGTGTGTATTTAGTGTGCCGTGCATGTGTCTAATGCTCCATGTTGGATTTTGCAGAAGCTTACATGGCGATCAGGCCAAGCTGACAGAGAGATGTGTGCCGTCAAAGGAAAACACAGAGTACGTATTAAAAATCGTTCACCTTGCACCTTTTGTTCTATATCCCACCACATTGACAGGGACTGTGAGCCGAATAGCTGGCCCCCTCTCAAAATGCCGTTCCATGTTGTTTGTCTGTTTTCAGGACGAGTGCCACAACTTCATCAAAGTGCTTGTTCCCAGAAATGATGACCTGGTATTCATCTGTGGTACCAATGGCTTCAACCCCATGTGCAGATACTACAGGGTCAGTATCCAGTGCCAGGGCCGGCCATAAGTCAACGTTTGCATGCTCAGACGTGTACAAACTCATACACAAACACAAAATCTGGACTGGTATTTTGTAAATGTGCTTAAAGCAGTTTGAGTAACATACCCTTTGTTTAAAAAAAATTCTTGCAAAATGTGACTAGACCCGTTTGACTGATTTATGTGTGTCTATAGTGTTTCTATGTGTGTTCTCTTTCACTGTGTCTCTTGACGAAACTCCTTTTAATGTGTGGGTGATTGTTCCCTTCAGCTGGATAACCTAGAGTTTGATGGCGAGGAGATCAATGGACTGGCACGATGCCCATTTGACTCCAAGCAAACCAACGTTGCCCTCTTTGCTGGTAAGGGTCAAACACACACCCGCCCACACACATACTTAGTCTTCCTGAAGAAGAACTAATGTGTTCCTACTTATGCTCTCATTATCACCTCTGTGTCTTTGCCACAGTAAAACTGTGCCTGCAGCGATAACAGCTCAGCCAATTAAGCCTTATAAACGAAGAGAAACAACAAAGCATTGTAGAGCACTGTATCCTAGTTTTTAGTGACTGTAATCCTTTTTGCTTTGTTTTTCTTAGAAGGGAAGCTGTATTCTGCAACTGTAGCGGACTTCCAGGCCAGTGATTCTGTCATCTATCGTAGTATGGGTGATGGATCAGCTTTGAGGACCATCAAATATGACTCCAAATGGCTGAAAGGTACACAAATGCCTCTTAATCACTCTCGATCTTTATTTCTCTCTCCCCTTGCCTTCCTGGAGATATACATGTCTACCTGCCAGCTAGCTAAATGCCCATGGTGCCTTTGCATGGTGTATGCATGTACGTGGCTGTCAGGGCTGTTTTTGGAGTGATAGAGAGCTCTCCTGTGTTGCCAAGCTCCATGGGGATATGGCCTGTTCTCTCCCAGGCAATCTAGGTCACCCCCAGTCATATACAGCCTTGTACAAATCCCTGAAATATTCAACATGCACAGTGGTGGTGACGGTGCAGAAATACACTTCAACTCTCTGCCTCTGTCTCTTCCTCAGAACCTCATTTCCTGCACGCAGCAGAGTACGGGAATTATGTGTACTTTTTCTACCGAGAGATTGCAGTGGAGCACAGCAATCTGGGCAAGGTAAGACAGTGCACCTGTCGTTTATAATGCATTACATATTCCACACAGATACAGTATGCAGGCCTTTATCCAAAAAAAAAAAAGGCTTACACCTCCCTCAGTGCATGTGTTTCTGCTACAAATAGCCCCAGTGGTAATGGGGCCCATTCAGGCGATGATAGTACATCGCATTAGAATACACGAAAAATTTCAACAGCCAGTGTTTGCTGGGAATGTTCTACTAATGTAAAACCATTACACAGTGAGAGGATTTGTCTCTTCCGGAGACTGCACGCTCTGCGTCTGCCTCTCCCTATGACACACACACACATGCAGAGGGCATTAGGATGTTCGGTGTTTGAGGCCAACTTCAGCTTTGAACATGCCTCGTCTCATCCTGAGCTGGTCTGGCCAAGCCACAGGAAGCCAGCATCCTCCATCAGCCAGCATCCTCCATCAGCCACCAACCAATAAATATTTCAACCCTACTAATGCTTGGGTGACACCTGGCCTCTGATGGAGGTTTGCCCTGGTAAATTATTAACAAAGCCAACTGCTTCACACACACTTCATTTATAAGCCTTAATATGTGCAATCAAACACACATTCACATGGAGCTGCATCAGGCTGTATTCCTTTTTTAAAAATGTTTGCACCAGTCAGGGTGAACAACCTCCAAACACAAAGTTAAAGATGAGAGTGTGTGTTTGTTAAGTCGTCTGTGGCGAGTTGCTACAGGATGGAGAGATGCATTATTCAGCATGTTGAAGTGTTTTTAGTGACGTTCACTTAGCTGCTTCCTCTTCCACCCGCCTGTGTCCTCTGTTAAACCCCTGCGCCCCGCAGGTTGTGTATTCTCGTGTGGCCCGGATCTGTAAGAATGACGTCGGTGGGTCACAGCGGGTGCTGGAGAAGCACTGGACGTCTTTTGTGAAGGCGAGGCTGAATTGCTCCGTGCCAGGGGAGTCCTTCTTCTACTTCGATGTGCTTCAGTCGATCACTGACATCATCAATATCAACGGAGTTCCGTCTGTAGTGGGTGTGTTCACCACACAGATGAACAGGTGAGCTGTTGCCTGCTGTTAGTTGTTAATTAAACATTGGACAATAACAAGATATTTAGAAGTCAAACATGGTTGTTACATTGGTGTATTTCTTTCTCCACAGTATCCCAGGTTCAGCAGTGTGTGCCTTCTCCATGGCCGACATAGAGAAAGTATTCTGGGGTCGGTTCAAAGAGCAGAAGACTCCTGACTCTGTGTGGACTCCATTCCCAGAGGAGAAGTTACCCAAACCTAGGTATGGATCCTAAACATACATGGCTTTTCTTTGAGCAGGTGGCACTTGACTCAGCAGGTGTTTTCCACCTGTCATTTTCCCCCTTTTCTTAACCCTTCTTTCTCCAAGTTAAACCCAATGAAATCAAATTGTTCTCATTAGTAAGGGACCAAGTTATTAGCTTTGACCCAGCACACACATTCACCATCTGCTGATGATTAAATAATTAATTTGGCATAATTAGACGCGTTGCATATTTAACCTGTTTACAGTCAGCACGTACATTTGTAGCCCTGCCCTCTGCCCAAAACCCAAAGTCCATAGAGCACCTCATTACCCCAGTAAATCATTGATGGAGGATAACCATGCATATGTATATTTTATGTTTCCAGCTGAGGCCTTTTTGTGATCCTAATAAGCACCTGCTCCTCACCCCCATCCTCTTGTTGCACTTTTCATCAATTTCAATACACGCTATTATTACTCCCTTGTGTGTGATCATATAGGCTGATCTTTGACCTTTTGCCCTATGTGCGTGTGCACCCTCCATTCTAGACCCGGTTGCTGTGCAGGTCATGGTCCAGCTGCATCCTTTAAGAGCTCCATCGAGTTCCCAGACGATACCCTGCAGTTCATCAAGTCCCACCCCCTCATGGACACAGCTGTGCCTTCTATTGGGGATGAGCCTTGGTTCACAAAGACTCGCGTCAGGTAAACGCAGAAGCACATTAGGAATGGGTATGGACCAATGCAATGCCACAGTTACAGTACTGATACCTTTAATACATTTAAATTACATTTAAGTAATTTCCCCACGGGATTATTAAAGTATATCTGATTCTGATTCTGACATGTTTAATCAAATATGTTAATTTTCTCTAATTGCATGTGTTTAATGCTGTCTTATCACAAGCAGCTGTCCAAGGACATGCCTCAATAAAATAGTGTAAAATCAACAAGTGATATTAGAATATATTCAAAGAACAAGTAAAGTTAACCGAAGAGTCTGACCAAGGATTTGATACAAACTTTCAATTCTCACATTAAGGTCAGTAATATTGTATTGAGGTCCAATACCCAGTTAACAGTGTGTCACATGTGGAGAGATCAATATTGACATGTCTCTTAATTGAACATGCAATGAAGTGAAAATATAAAATTTGACCTTTAGTAACTCAACTGGAAATGATTCATGTATTCAAAATGGCCTCCCCTATTTTGAAAGGGATAACCCCTACTGTGAGTAACACATGCTCTCTCTGCTGTGTGTGAAGGTACAGACTGACAGCGCTGGCTGTGGACAATGAAGCAGGACCTCACAAGAACTACACAGTGGTGTTTATCGGGGCTGAGTCGGGGGTTGTCCTGAAGGTTTTGGCCAAGACCTCCTCCGTGGCCCTGAATGACAGCCTGCTTTTGGAGGAGATAGATGTCTTCAACAAGGCAAAGTAGGGATGCACACAGTTTTCACCCTCTCTCTGTCTGCTTCTGTTCTCTTTTTCTCTTCCCCTTCTGTCTTCTGGCCGAGGAGTCAGCTGTCTGTCTGCTTTCTGTTCTTGCACTGTATGTGTGTGTTTATTTGTGGATGTGAACATGCACGTGTGTCAGAGGTTAAACTCCTGTTAAATTGTGAGAAAAAGCTTTATGTGTCTTCTCCACCTAACAAGTGATTAAATCTACTGAGACTGAAACAGTAGACAGACTTATCTGATAGACCTCTGATCGGGTTTCTTGCTTCCCTTCCCAGGTGCCTGTCTAACCACGAGGATGACAAGCGTGTCCTCTCGCTGCACGTGGACAAAGACGCACACAGCCTGTATGTCGCCTTTTCAAGCTGTGTCATCCGTATTCCCCTGAGTCGCTGTGAAAGGCATTCTTCCTGCCACAAGTAAGTGATGCGCTAATGCACACGTGGGGGTTAAAATGTGCTTCGTATGGTCGGTCATAGGTTTGAGAGTTTATTGTTTTGTTTTGCAGTAAATGTCATAAAAGGAACGATAACAGCTTCACTTTATTCCTTGCGGTTAATGTTCAGTCAGTCACAAATGATTATAGTGCACTTCGCAGAATCATTTAACCCTGTGGTCTGATGATGTGTTTGTTTGTGTGTGTGTGTGTGTGTGTGTGTGTGTGTGTGTGTGTGTTTGTATGGCAATCAGGTCCTGCATTGCATCAAGGGATCCTTACTGTGGCTGGAAGCCTCATGGAGCCTGTGAGAGGATACAGCCTGGTGACTTGTGAGTTCAAGCCTCAGTTGAAATATAATGTGTTAATATTACAGATGAGAGAATGAGATAACAAGAATGTTTGCAGCTCTTTGATTAATCTTATCTATCTTGTCTTGATCTATTTTCAGGACTGAATATGAGCAGGACATTGAATTAGGAAATACTGCCCACCTGGGTGACTGTCACGGTACGGATCTCATCACCATGCCATCTATCCTGAGACATTTATAAAACACACACACACACACACACACACACACACACACACACACACACACACACACACACACACAGATAAACATACATCGACACACACATACACAAATGAAACTCATCTTCACACACACCATGAGCCTGCACACTCACACCAGTAACCACTCCAATAACTTGCCCCTACATAAGTCTATGTGCAGTATTAACACACACATCTGCATACAGTACATGGCCACCTGTAACTTATGCCACCTGTGAGGCAGAAACATGGACATGTACAATTAAGGGTCATGTTCAGCTGGTGCAAATGGTAGAGGTCTTAAGATATCTGATGGCAGAAAATGTGCCTTTACTGATTTTACTTTAAAACTTCTGTCCCTTCATTTGTACCGACTAAACATGACCCAGGCTGAACCTCAGTATTGATCAGAACCAGAGGGCTTCTTGTGACTCTAGTGAGAAAAGGACACTGCTCTGGAGTGCTTGTATCTTTTATTATTAAACCAACTGCACTCTTAGTGTCTCTTAGGGATTTTAGTTCTTAGTTTTTACTTCTGAATTCCCTTATACTGATTTCTTGTTCTTTTAATTCTTTTAGCGTTTTTGGGCACTACATCAGCGCCAGATTACAAATCATTTGGCGACCCTACCTCTGGTTAGTTTGATCTTTTACTCAAATGGTTTCTTTCCTTGAGTTCAGCATCTCCAACCCTGTCTTTCCACCACTGCCACGTTTCATCTTTTCTTACCAAGCACCTCCTGAATGCCAATGTCACCTGCTTCATTTTCATCGTCACAAACAACACATTCACCAGACGGTGCTCCATCTCAGCACAGATTCACTTCCTCCTTTTCACTCATCACTTCCTGTTCCGAATCCTCCTCCCTCTTGCATGCCCAACCACCAGTCCTTGGCATCCTTACTGTTGTGTACCAACTCCTCTTTGAACCTCAATATCCTCTCTTTTTTCTGTTCCAAAATTGTCTAAAAAGAAAAGAAAAATGTATTTTCATTGATCTGTGAATGTTTAAACACAACATTTTGCAAAAGGTTATCTGTGGTTTATTCACTATTTTTCAGACACTAACTTTAAAAATTATCCATTGCCCATGCCTACTAACTGAGATGATAACAGTATGCTTGAGCCACGTCTGCACAGTTTGTTAACAATTTGTTTGTCACCACAGACATGGAGTTTTCATCAACGCCAGTCACTGTCCACCCCAGTGGGCCCATACACCCCCCAGTACTCATACCCACTCAGAGCCCCAGCTCTGGACCTGGTCCAGAGCTCTACGGCTCAGGCTTTGTGCTGCAGGATGACCCAGCCACCTCCCATTCTTTAGACTCTATCCCAGGGGGCCAAGAGGGTAAGGCCCACAGGGAGGCAGCCAGCATGCTGCATTGAGCCTGAACTGATAGCTGCCAGCAACTCTCACTAAGCCACACAAATGTGAATTCACACATAGGCTCACATATGCAAATACACACGTGCACACAATGGCAGCTATTTAGGATTTTTATTAAATAACATGGCAGATTTTAATTTAGTCTTTCTTTTCAAATATATATTTTCATACATAATCTATAGATATATTTTCATGTTACCATTGTTTTCTTTAAATTGTTATTTACTTATGTTCTTTCTTTCTTTTGAATTATTTATTCCCAGTTTTCTAATCATTAAAACTTGCATTCATCTTTCTCATATTGTTTCTTTAAAATCCTTTGTTTGGATTTAGCTTCTCTCTCTGCCATCTGTATAGATGTTTTAACTCTAGCTCTAGTAACAGTTTACCCTGGCTGGTAGATCATTGACTGGGCCTGCTCTGCCACATCACTTTTGTGGACGCATGGTGGATGACTAATTCTTTCAATGTCTGTGGTTACTAACAAACTTCAAGTAGAGCAGTAGCTACCTCAATGCCTGGAAGGCAAGCACTGCCTCTCTTTCCTTTGAACAACTTCCTGCTGGTTGATCTCTTGTGAAAACATGCAAAAAGATTGAGTCTTTCTATCTCAGATAAGAGCGCATTCTTAACCCTTTGGTACCGGTTAAATGCATGACAAAAAGTGGAACGTGGATCAAGGCAACACTCTTTCCTTCTCAACTAACATAGCACTGCTACTTATAGATGGTGAAATGGATGTGGGTACCTAACAGCTTCTGCCAATTTTCACCATATTTCTTCATCTGGGTTTAGATGAATAGGAATGTGTCAATATTTATGGGATTTAGTTGTGGTTTACTGGCTACCTTGTATGGGGGGGAAGTGTAAAAGCAAAAACTCATGCATTATTGTGTTCACACAGAACCCTGCACAATTTTGCTGTAGAATGGGGAGGGATGTTTCACTGAGCACTTTGACTTTTCACCAGGGGTTAACCAATGCCTCAATGTTTTGTAGGTGTGTGGGATATCCAAGCAGGTGAGACCAACCAGATGGTCCACATGAACATCCTCATCACCTGCGTGTTTGCTGCTTTTCTCATGGGTGCTCTCCTGGCTGGTCTGATTGTTTTCTGCTACCGAGACTCATTCCTCCGTAAGCCAAGACATGTCCGCAAGGACGCAGAGTCAGCACCATCCTGCTCCGACTCCACTGGGAGCTTTGTTAAGCTCAACGGCCTCTTTGACAGCCCTGTAAAGGTACGGCCATAAAAACAGCTCCAATGCTACATCAAAGGCTTTTGTGGAGAGGATGTGAAACAGTACCTAATCTTACTCATTTATTTTTTTATTCTTAGGAGTACCAAACCAACATTGATTCTCCCAAGCTGTACACCAATCTGCTGAGCAACGGCAAAGACCTGAATACACCTAATGGTGACACCAAGACTATGATCCTGCGGGATGGCTGTCAGCCCCCTGAGTTGGCTGCCCTGCCTACACCTGAGTCCACCCCTGTGCTTCAACAGAAAGGCCTGCAGCCCATCAAAAACCAGTGGGAAAGGGCTCAAGGGAAGGTCAGTGGGCCTCGCAAGGAGTCCAACTCATCGGCCAAGAGTCCTCAGTTCCTTTCTTCTGCTGCTGCTCCTCCTAACTCCAACTCCCACCAACCTCACCTTGCGCTGGGACACTCCCACATCCCTAGTGCAGTTGTCCTGCCCAATGCCACACATGACCATCCTAACTTTGACAATGGAGATGATACACTGCCACATTCTTCTGAAACAAAGCTGAAGAATCCAGATTCTAAGGGAGGTAGGAAAGACCAAAAGAGGTCTGTGGATGCTAGAAATACCCTAAATGACCTTTTAAAACACCTCAATGACTCTGTGGCCAACCCCAAGGCCATTCTTCAAGAGGCATCAGGGCCCCGTCCAAGGCCACAGCTCACACTGGAGCCCATGGAGGAACTGACTGAAGTACCCCCTAGGGTGCCCAGCCGTGAGGCTTCCCTGTACTCTCCCTCCTCCTCACTGCCGAGGCACAGCCCCACCAAGAGGGTTGATGTGCCCATGCCCACCACTCCAACAACACCAACAGGCAGCCTGAGCATGGGGGGCACCCTGGAGAGGCAAAGAGGGGGTTATCAACTCCACCGGAGTGCCTCTCACAGGCACTCCTTATCCACCTCACCAAATGGGGTAACCATGGGGGTGTCTGTGTCTCGCCAACACAGTATGAACAGAGGGGGTTACATGCCCCCAACACCCCCCTCCAGACTTGACTCCCATGGCGGAGTGATGGGGGCAGGAATGCACTCAGCCCACCCATCCTCTGTATCCCGACAGAGCAGCTACAGTGGGCATTGCTCACTCCCTCGCACGGGACTTAAACGGACCCCATCGCTAAAGCCAGATGTGCCCCCAAAACCCAACGGGTTTTCACCACAGACTCCACAGATGCGAGTGGTCAATAAGTACAGTTATTAAAAGAGCATGGACACTTCTGAGTGAGCTCTTGGCCTTGACTGTAGAGCTTTGAGCCCTGGGGGCTTGGGGTTGGGGCTATGGATGGGGTAGGGCCTATTGTGTGTTTGTGTATCGACTTGAGGTGTGGTCCCCCTTTAAATGATATGCACATTCACTCACACTAAAAAGGGAAATCACACATGTGGCCAAAGATACTCCTTGGGGCTTTTTCGCTCCCTATGTCTCCATCTCGCTCCCTTGTCACGGTAGCCACAGGATATGAACAGTGGACAGTGGTGAATCTGCTGCTCCCAATTGTGTCTGAGCTCTGGTGTTGCCCGTTCAGATATTAAGTACGAGGTTTAGGACACTAGCTGGGGCAGCTATGGCGTCTGTGCATGTGGTACCAGGTTAAAAACAGTGGAATACTTGAAGAACGGGTCTCATTTGTTACTGCCCTTGAGCACTGTCTTCCCACTAATGTGAACTGAACAAAGAGGAGAGGTAGCCATGCCTTTGTTAAAAAGATGGCTGGGGGCAGGGGAGAGGATACCCAAAAATCATTGTGTGCGTGTTGCTTAAGATACATATGGCCACAAACAGCAGAATCAAGCAGCAAGCGAACAAAGAAAAAGAGCAAATTAATGTGTGAGTGTGTGTTGGTTGATTGGAAAGCAGATTTTTGTAAAGGCAGTACACATAATTGGCTTTCACATTTGGTTATTAAGAGTGGTGCCACATGCCAGAGGATGCACCTTATGACCTGTCTAAGAAGTCACTGTCTCTCATTTCAACAATATTAGCTCTTTCTGCTCTTGTTTTAACCCACCTGAACCGATCCTAAACCTTATTTTTGTGTCACTTTATAGTGTTTCTAGTAATTAGGTTAGGCTGAATTGAAGTTGGTCATGCTGGGTGTATACTGGGACATTGACTCTGTAACACACTGGGAAATTTTACATAGTACATTTGCTGCTATTGGTTTTAGACATAAGTGTTTGTCTTTGATTTTTTTTCTCAACCAGACTTGGGTAGCCCTTGATATGGGTGCGCACATCTGCTTGTGTGTGAGTGTGAGTGTGTGTGTGTTATATTGCAGACAGAGGCCAAGAAGTACAGTTTTCAGCAACCAAACGCACTGTTAAAACTGATAAATGGGAAAACATGTTTCTCTCCAGAACCGAAACCTCCCCTAACCTCCACTGCCCCTTTGTAGGAATTATACTGGTGGTTCAAGAGACTTCTTTCTTTATGTAGCAATGGTATTAAGAAAAAAAAACATACATTTCTCATCTCATTCTATAAATGAATTTTGAACAAAGTGATTTGCCTTTATAATGTTTTACTGTGTTATTTAAGGAATTTACCATATGAAACTAAAGCAACACCAATGGTTTAGCCCATGTATATGAATTCAACATTTCAGGGCACCTCTGTTCTGTTAAACTCGTGTGTCCCTTAATAGAAGAACACTAGAACTTTCCTCCTACATTAATCCTATTAAAAGGTATATTAAACTGACCCTAGAACAATATGTGGATGTAACACCTCTGTCATCTGCCATGCTGGTTCTGCAGCCCATGTTCCCTGTGCAGCTTCCCTGCGAGTGGCCAGTGTACAATCAACACAACATTTACCAATGTGTCCAAATGAGTCATGCTGGGAATGACAAGATCCTGTATATACTTAAATATTATAAATAGGGAGTATAAATATTTTTAGGCAAGTGAACCTGAATCTGTGCATTGTGTGCCTTATTCACAAAATGAACTACTACAGTATATAATATTGGCAATGTCAATTGGTCCTCTGTATGTTATTGTCATATACTATATAAACAATTTTTATATAAGCCATTTGAAAATCAGCAGGATGTGTTGTAAAATCACTACCTAATCCAAACCGAAAATATGTGGAAAACAAATTGTCTGACAAACATTCCATCTGTGAATGCTAGTTGTACAAAAGGACAGTCAAAACACATTAATTTGGGGTATAAATCAATTTTTGTCCTTTACTGCCGGTGTTGAAAAGAAGTTAATCCACCACATAAGAGGTGCCATGCAGTGAATGTATTTTCTTGACAGTGGGATGTAGGGTGGTTAGACCTTGTACTGTGGAGCAGTCGACTCAACGCAGCACATCCTGCCCACATCCAATGTATTAACAGTATTCATGTGAAAGCCATCTGTTGGCATGGGCGGTGGTCACACAGAATCTGCAATTCCCCAGGATTGCAGTGGCAGGAATTGTTTCTATCGGCCAGTAGGGACGACTGAGGGATCCTTTCTCTCAGAAATGGGTACATTATTTGGGTGACATCTGCAATCCTATCCGAGTGTCAGTTGCCTGTTTAGCCCAAAGCCACATTTTGTTTACAAGTGATGATTGTATGTAAAGACTTTCTGCCTGTCATCTAACCAGTGTTTGGGCTCTCTTTTCTACTCGACACATGCACACTGACATCACAAACATACAGTCAACATACACTGCTCAACTGCCTTGTACATTGCAATATGAACTGGGTCTTTCTGTTGCAATCTAAATTGAAGCCTTTATATTTCAGTCTGAGCTCAGTGTATGTGCAGATGTGCAGATGAACCGGATTTTGTCATGTCATTTTGATTTAAATACTGTGCAACATGGCGATGCAAAGCCAGCTGTATATATGATCTCCAGAGTATTTGAGCGTGTAGATATGTTGTAAAGTTGTACTGTGAATGTGTAAATAATAATGATGGTCTTTGTTTCATGATATTTTTTGTTGATTTTTTTAACACGGCATGTATAGTTGAAATAAAACATTACTGCACAGAAGAGAGTAGTCTTGAGGGGGTTTCTTCCTGTCATGGTATTCAGCCTGGTTGGGTTTTATAAGTCAGCTCCTTATGTCATGCGTTTCAGGTGTGAGACAGCATGACAGGGAGCCTCAAAGAGTTAAAAATCAGATGCTTAGTGTCTTGTGAATCCAGCCTAAGATGTCATGCCATTAGATGTATTCAGGTTCTTACAGCATGACCTGAGAGGGGGTAGTACTTCATGTGTCCAAGCTGAGCTCTGTGAGCAAACTATCAGAGACATTAAGTCTGCAGAATGATTAAGAGCTTGAGACTATTTTTAGAGCTGGGTTGTTTTGAAGTTTGGGGCCATTGCAGAGTCAACCACACCAGATAGCATGTGGGAAAGTTTCCAAAGTAGTATGTTCCTGTAGACACCAAACATCTGGACTAACTACAGCTGAAGGCATAAGATCTGAGCCACCAGTGAGCTGTAGAGGAATGCAAACACACACACACTAGCGCATGCATACACTGAGATGCATCCAACATAAACATCCAATGTATGATGTTACGCACAGATAGGTTTGTGATAAGATAAGCTGCCAACAAGAAAGAATAAAGGAGTGATGGTTGGATGAAGGATAATCACTTTTATGTGTTTCCGACTTGCAGAATGGAAAATAATCAATTTGCCCACTGTTAATGTCTCAAAACATGCACATACAATCACAAGCACTACATGTGCTGTACCACTGAACTCCTGAGGCATTCATGTCAAGTTCACATAAATACAGACACATGCAGAGAAATACATCATCAAAACAGGATTTTGTGTTAAAACATGGCAACAGGAATGCAGATGCATCTGTCCAAATTGTTTCAAATCACAAACACGGGATATCACGGTGGCTTAGCGGTCTACAAAGGCCTACCACATAACAGCAACACTGCCGGTTTGAATCCGGCCAGAGACCTTGGTTGCTTGTCATCCCCACATTTCCTGTATGCCTCTTCACTGTTTACTATCAAAGCAAAAATGTCAAAAACATAGCAAACAACCTTGGACCATCATATATAATGACCATTTTGAGTTATAACTTCCTGCAGAAGCCAGGTCAACAGCCGCGGAAACATTTAAAGTCAAATATTGAGATTGAAAAGGAAAACAGTTTTCATCTAACTGATCTGCACATACAGAAGAAGCGCAAGAGGGCTCTGAGAGCACAGCTCCTGCTTTTTCACAGCGAGGTTATGCAGCCCTTTGGCTGTTTGGCCGGCAGGCTTTGTGGCTCATCGCTGCCGTCAGAATGTTGACACAAGTGCTCCTTCATTTGCTTTCAGCAGGACCTCCCGAAAACTCACACCTCCTAGCAACCCAGCTCTGTCTCTCTCTCACACACACACACACATACAGACACACACACACAAGGGAAACATTCTCCCCTCTGGGTGTTCTAATGGGGGTTGGTGTGTGATTTGGTTGGGAATGGGAAACAACAAAGAGGCGCCTCTTGCTATTCTGATGTACATCCCATCCTCTCAATTTATCAGATGGTCTCTTTGAATTAGTGGAGGCAAATCAAACACAGCTAGTGATTCTGTAGCTGTTTCATTCACTTGTCCCTCCGCCTGGCCACACTTAGTCTCATTACTAGCACCGACTGTTCCCGAACAAAAAGCATGCGTTAGTTGTCATGCAGAAGTGTCTGTGTGTGTCTGTGCACATGTGCGTGTTTATTCCACTTTACAAGGAACACGAGAAGCCGATGCTAAAAAAAAACACATCACTTTTGGATTTGTTGAAGTGGGGTTATATGAGGTACTTATCCATAGTCAGTGTATTAGTCAGTGTATTACCTATTATAGATGGCGGTCAGCATGCCCCGAGTTTGGAAAAGCAGACACCAGCACAAAAGTTAAGCAATGCACTGCTGTGGACATGGACAGTAACAAAACGTATTTCGTCCACCTAAAAAAAAAATCAATATTAGTTTAAGTGTACACTATATTTTTCATTGTTTTACCTTGCTGTCAAGACAGCCCTTTTGGACAGAGAACTGATGTCGTCCTATCACTCTCTTCAGTCACAAGACTCCTTTGACAAAAACATTAGCTTTACAGAACATGTGAGTTGCTGGTCTACCACTGCCACAATCAGCAGCAACTAACAACTCCCGTGCACAAGGCCAAATTACTGTTTTTGTCAAAGGAGTCTGTTGGATTTAGACCATAGGTGGATAAAATGGCTTTGGTTTCCCATCCGGCTGTCTAACAGCAAGGTAAAGCAGTGAAAATATCCTAAATATAGTGTACATTTAAATTGCTATTGTTTTAGGTGGGCCTTTTTTAAGGTGGCCAAAACCTTGAAAAAATATACTGTCCACAGCAATGCATTGCTTAGCTTCTGTGCTGGTACTCTTGTCTGCTTCTCCAAACTGGGGGCGTGCTGACTGCCATAGTAATAAACTGACTATGGATAAGTCCCTCATACAACTCCACTTAAAAAAAAAGTGGAACCAAGCAAGGCCACTCGACTAGATGCAGCAAGATTAAAGTAAATTGCTTAAATTGGAAGTACAGATTAAAATGTGCTCTGAAACATTCGCAAGCAGAAAATACAAAACACACACACACACACACACACACACACACACACACACACACACCACATAGTACGTACTAACAGTAAGAGAGCGATCTGGTCCATTTCTCTGCTTTCTGGTTTTCTCTGCAGCATCTCTTTAGAAATTTAAGGATGGTGATTAGACTGAAAATCATCCATCTGTACTCTTTCCTGTCCTCTTTTCTTAAAAGCCTGGAGGTGAAACCAGCAATTACATTTACAAGGCTCAGTCATGGAAAGGTGCTTAAAGGGTTTCTTTGTGGGCTTTAGCAAGTACATGTGCTCTCTCTGATGCATTAAAATCTGACAGAGTGTCCGCGTAATGCTTCATTTGAAAGTGGAATTAAATAACAGGGAAGAAGCCGAAATTTCTCCGAGTTGGATTGAAAAAAAGTTTTTGCAGTTCAGCCTCTCCAGTCGGGAAAAGCCATCAAAGTCTAATCCATGTGCCAAGCACCCTTACATTGACAGTTGGTTAATGGCACATATTGCTTTGAAAAGTGACTTAAAAGGCAGGCAAGCAAAAGCAAGGAAGAGAAAGGGATTGCTGAAATATGAGGAATGGAAGTGCAGACAGGAAGGAAGTAGTATTTCCTATGCATTTATGAGAAGATACAGACATTTGTATTGCGGATAAACTATAAACAAAACAGTTTAATGAGAGTATAAAGCACAAGCAGGGACTTTTCCCAGTTCTCCCTTACAGAGTTCCAGCCAAGCTTTACAATCAACGGCATTGACACCACAAACAGTGAGAGAGATGGCAGGAGGGAGAGAACTAGGCTGCAGAGATTTTAATTCATTGGTATATTATATAATGGCTGCTAGGATTTCCATGCAGTGAATGGCTACTGTGTTCTCAGATAACCTCCAGGAATGACATGACAACCTTTTTTTATGCCTGCATCTACACTGCAACTGCCACCTGTGTTTTATCATGAGACATTACTATCAAGGACGAATATAGAATGGGATACATATGGAAATAATTATGATGAGTCCACAAAAGCAGTGCATTATATTACACAATGGAAATTAAAAAGAAAAAATAGAACACTGAGGGTATTACAGGTTCCCCTAAATCCTCTTGCAGTCCAACACAGTAGCTCTGTTGCTTCAAATGCACAATTGGAATGTTTTTTCTTCTTAATTTTCTCACAGTTTTTCCACCAGAACTTGAACACACCACCATGCCCCTGGATAATACAATCAAGCTTTATATTCACTGTGATGGATATTATCATAAGTTGTCTTATAAGTTTAAAGATCCAGGGGCACCGTGGTAGTTCACCTGTTAGAGCTGGCGCCCCATGTGCCCAGGCTGATTCCTTGCTGCAGCGGCCATGGGTTCAAATCCAACCTGTGGCCCTTTGCTGCATGTCTTCCCCTCTCTCTGTCTCTCTTTCCAGTCACTCTACAGCTGTCACTATGCATTAAAGGCAATAACAGCCCAAAGTATAATCAGTTTATGCTTTCTTTTATATTAATATTTACAGTAACCCAGAATGGACAAACCAAACACTGGCTCTGGATATGGCCGTCTTCGCACTTGGAAGGAGGGGTAAAGTGAGGAATTGCAATCGGCAACAACACCTCTAGATGCCACTGAATCCTACATGCAGGTCCTTTAAAGTGTTATCCATACACAGCACAAAGGCAGTAAAAGCATCCAGAAACACAGAGCAGCCTGGTATGTTCTGTAAAATGGTCAGCAGTAATATATGAATATGATGTAGTAAACTAATGGAAAAGTATAACTGCATTATAAATTGTCACTGATGAATAAATATAACAAGATAGATATAAAGAATTAGACGTAACAAGATAGTGTCTTGTTACTTTACCAAGCTCAACATGTTGGATTTGTAAGCTTATCTGTTTCGTAACAGAAAATAATAAGAAAGAGACAAAATCTATCACTGTTTATGATGATATTGGTAGTGATGATTATCACCAAAGTAAGGAGGTAGGCAGCTACAGTACATAAGAGCTTTGTGTTAAGGTCAACTCATTCATTTAGAATACTATCAAGGAGGCACTCAGCAAAACTGTACTTTTAACTTTACCATTAACACCAACCCATTAATGACCTCAGCTCTCCATAGGTTAGTCATGTAGCATTGCCTGTCTCATGTAGGGTTGGCACCCTAGAAACCCTAAGAGTAGGTTTACAAACCTAAAGTTAATTTTACCAATTTTTCATTACTTTCGCTGTATGTACAATATGTCAGCTGTACTATTCTGGCAGGTTGGGAAAATGGATGCAATGTACAGCGAAGAAGAGCAAAGTTTGTAGTTATTGAACTCAACGACACAATTTAAAAAAAGCCTAGGCAAATATTTTATTACTCTTGGCTGCTTGCACACATCTGTGATATCATGGATACCTTCGAAGATACCACCCACAGCTGTAA